GTTTTGTTCACAGATTTCACACAACTGGCTGGTAATGAACATGGGGATGCTATCCATCAATTAGAACATCGTATTTCCAGACTGGAAGGAGGTATTTTATCTGCCTTTATTTTCTGCTGCTACTGGGTTAGTGGGAATAGATCAGGTGGGCAAAAATTGCTTCTTAGGAAAAAGGCAGAATTTTCTGCAGTTTTATTGCATTCCTTTTATATCTTCTTTATTTATATATCAGTGAGTGAAAACTTTCAAATGGGGGTGGGGGAGTGGGAATTAGAATTTCATAACTAGAGGAAGACACCTGAGTTACAGCTCTGAATTATGAATGCAAGCAAGGCAGGAATGTGCCAGATTAAAATCCCTGCCTATGCAGAGCTGCTCCATGTACACCTCATGCCCCCAGTAGACAAACAGAACACTAAAAACATACTAAGACAATCATGACCAGATCAAATCTAAGATCCCATTCACTCAAGAACAGTGGTATACTGCAAATCACCTCAGAGCCTTATAGAGAGTCTCAAAGAAAATCATATGCTTTTTAAAAAAAAAATTCCTTATTTCTTTTCCTCCTCCAAATTCTTATGTGATTCTCCTGTTTCATCATCTGTGTGTTTCTTTCTATTCATCCCCTCCTCATTTTCATGATTTCAGGTTCTCCTTTCCTGTATCTTTTCCTGGCCTAATCTATAGTTATGGAGCAAAATAGCAAGAGTTAACATTGACAGCAAAATAAGCACAAAACAATGGACTAATGTTTAACAGCTTTTAACAGCTTTTCCCTCCTCCTACAGTCCTTCGTTTGAACAAGATGATAACAGAGTCTGGAGGAAAAATCTTCGCTACCAATGGAAAAACAGCCAATTTTGATGCTACAGTGGAAAAATGTAAAGAGGCTGGAGGCTCTATTGCTGCTCCAAAGAGCCCTGGCGAGAATGATGCCATTCTGTACTTTGTGAAATATTTTAACACCTATGCCTACCTGGGGATAAAACAATCCCTTGTTCCAGGAAGATTCCAGCTCCTGAATGGTGCTCAGCTGAGCTATACTAACTGGTATCCAAATGAACCTTCTGGCAAAGGGGAGGAAGAATGTGTGGAGATGTACACTGATGGCACTTGGAATGACAAAAAGTGCAGCAAGAATCTCCTTATTGTCTGCCAGTTTTAGTGCTTCCCTTGCTGCTCTCTGGAATATGCTTCCCTATCACTTCTGTCTTCCTTTGTAGCTAGTAAGCTTAGATAATGCAGGATGAAAAAATAAAATACTCTCTTTCCCAGTCTGGTTTGTCTTTTAAAAAATGCCAGCCATGAAGAGGAAACTGTATAATAAAAGCAGAGGCTATTTTTATCTGTTTGTTAATCATTGCCCACTTAGTGTTTTAATACTGCGTCTATGAGCTCCTGCGGATTTATTACAAGACCAAAAATTAGAGTTCTTGGCCACATATCTAAGGTGACTTGCAGCCACAAAATCTTCCAGTATTCCTTTACCCATGAAGCTCTGCTTTGTGAGTATTTTGATCCCTTTCTGTAAGTTTCCCTCACCAAAACTCCCCATACAGACTCTCTGCTGTTGCTCAGCCCATGTTGCTTTGGCCACTCTCACCCCCAACAATGCCCTGAAAGAAGACACGAGCAGTGCTGCTGGGGTGGCACAGAGCCCCCCTTCTTACATACCCCACTGGAAAACTTCAGTCAGCAGGTCTCTATCCTTCATGCACCTCAAAATTGGTGACCAGAAGCCGCCTGTTCAGCAATTCCTAATCCCTTTCTGACTCAAGGAGCACAAGAACATCAAGATCCCCTGTCACATGGGATGTGTGTGGAATAAAACACAAAGGAGACAACAGGAAAATTACTAGGTCTATGTGATTTAGGGAAAATCATCAGAGCCATGACATGGCCAATTTTTTTAGGGTATATTGTGATGAGATTCGGATACAACTAATTTTGGGCACCACAGAGGTGCTTGTCAGACCCTCATTGGGATTCCCACAGGGCCAAGGCTGGTGGATGCCCACTGACTTGGCACTCACTGCAGAAGCTGCTCAGTCTCCACCATCCAGCTTAAGCCAAAGGTTTAAGAGAAATCTTTCTCGGCTTTCTTACTTGAGTCTGTTCACCTACTGAAGGTGAGGATTCCCCAGGTTTAGATTCACAGTTGTGCAGTATGGCTGCACACTCAGAGATGTCTGATTTGGATTTTTCCTTTCTCCAGGGCAGTTGACTTCAACATAGCTTAGGCAGTGAAGGCTCTGCATCAGCTCTGTGACACGGTGCAAAGGCTGGCTGAGCATCTGGGGGTGCCTCCATAAAGCCAAATTCCTGACTGTGAGCCACACTCATTCACAGTGTTAGTCCCAGCTGGGTGACAGAACCTGAGCAAGGACATGTCCAGCTCTAGAGCCAGATCAGCTCCCCTCACCCTCTGCATGACAGAGAGCCAGAACAGCCAAAGTATGGAAGGGAAGAGGGGAGGGAAGGTGTGCTCACAGCTCGTGTGAACCAGGGGGCCAGCAAAGAGGCTGCTTGGGACCTTGTAGCTGTGCAAATCACTGTAATTCCAGAGCAGCAACTTGCCATGCATGACATTCCTGCACTGGCTTAAATTTAATTACAGTATTATTTTGGGCACATGGTCTCACCACCTGCTCTGTGACAAGGAATGGCTAATCCTGGCCTTCTTTCAGCCCTCTGCTTGATGTCAGGGCCTGTGAATTATTCTTGCTGTTATTCTCTGCACACTAAGCTGCTTGTCTTTTAGGTATTAGGAAAACTAATGCAACAAGGTTGGTGTCAAACCAAGACACCTTTCTGCTTGAACAGCCTGGTGCCTGAAGGGGCCCACCTCCACAGGTAGACTCAATTACTCACTCCAGCAGTATTTAAATCCTTCATCAAAATGCATACTAAATAGGACCCTGTTTCCAAGATCTATAAAATTATCTCACCATATGCAAAGAAAAACTTTTGTGAGCAAAGTCCTTTTTATCCATGCATCTGTTTGGCATGTAAGGAGATCTACAAGCTGTTAACAAGTGCCTTTATTTCTGGAGAGCACAGCCAAAATATAAACTACCGAATCCCGTATCATGTGAGGTCTAAGTAGACTCCTTACATTGCACTACTAACCCAGTGGAAACAGGTACATAAAAGGGAAATGAGGACTCAGGAGTCCATGTGGCACTGCTTCACTTTCAAACTCCATTCTTACTCACAAACACTTTGCAGCTCTGCAGTATCTGCCTGCCCCCATCAGCTCACCTGCCCAGTCTTCAGCCTCGCATGACTCCTGTTGTGAAATTAACTCTGCCACGAGCACAAGGAAACAGGATCACAAACATCAACTCATATAGTAATTTTCCACTCATCATCTTCCAGTAAAGTTTAAGAAATTTACAGTGATTAACATCAGCCCGAGAATGAAGTTGGACGCACAGCCCACCATCACCAAACATTTAAAGCCATGGTAAGTTTTTTATTCTATCCTGCTAATCTCCAGAGGGTCACAGAGTAAGCACAAAATTAAAGCTATTTGCAGGTGTGTATGAAAGAAAGCAGCTACTTTCAGAGTTAGTCTAATGAATATGCACCAGAGCAGAAATGTTCCACCACCTTCCCAAATTTGGGCTTTTTCCCTGTGGGGTCCCAGGGAAGAGAGTTAAGGACTTTGTTACCCCACGGCTGCAGGTGCCCTGCTGAGACACTGAGAAATGTTTGTCACCCTGCCTGAAGCTGCCACCTTCCACAGCCCTGCTGACAGCAGCCAGCTCTGGAAACAGCAGTCTTGGCCTGAAGGGGCAGGCTGGTTCAGCGTTTGGGCACCAAATTTATTTCCTAAATCTGAACGAGATGGCTGTACAGCATCCTCTGATTTGTAGAAAGGCAGGATGTCCCAAGGCTAGCAAGCATTTATTTCAAAAGCCGTTTTCTGAAACATTTGTGAACTTATTTTAAAAGCTTAATCCACCCTATCCTAACTCTAAATTCTAGTTGTGCTTTCAGAAACTACCACTATTTAACATGTATTTACTAGTACTTGTGGATATTCTGGACCACCCAGCATACTGACAAGCCAAACTCTGGGATGTTCAATTTTCAGTCAATGGCATGCACTTTTCCACTTCTGATTGTAGGACTACTAGGACCACCACTAGGGTTAAGTAAAGTTAAAATTGTATTAATCTGAAGAGTTAGTAAAAGAACAGGATAAACAGGTTTCTCAGAAGGCAACTTAGCAAGGAATCCGATTTTAGCAAGATGAAATATTAGTGTCAAATATCAAGAGAGGTCACTTGTCAAGTTCTGCAGGGAAAAGTGTGACTGATTCTGCCTTGTATAGTGGAAAATACTATTAAATTATTCCACCCATCCCCCTGCCAAGAATTGTTCAGAAAATTGTTTTGACTCTATAAAAATATCCATCATGTGAAAAAGTATTAACAGCTGTTATTCTCTGTGAAGACACCCTAGTTAATATTTTCTTCTGCTTTGTAAAAAACTGAAAAACCTATTGCTGGTTCGTTGGCTTTGAGGTCTCAAAGGACATCCTTGCAATCTGAAGCTCTGTACAGCCCTTTGGATATATCCACTCCAGCACAGATTTTGCACAGATTTCATAGTTAAATTTTTAAGGCAGGCTGCAGTTTGGTCTTCACATCTTCTCTTGTCAAGGGGCAAGAGCCAGATGCAGCAGTGTGTTCAGGCGGGAGGGCCACTTCTCTGGGACTGTGTAGTGCCACCTCCACAGCAGCATGGAGAGGAGCCAGAGCTGGCTTGCAAAGCCTCTGAAGAGGTTTTTACATGCACTTTATATAACAGATACTGCAGCAGCCTGAGCACAGCTGTGGCTTCTCAAGTATTAAAATAGAGCTGAGCTGTTAAGCAGCAAGTGGGTTGTTGAATATACATAGGTGGAAGAGAGCTGGGTGTATGAACACCATGGATGTTCAATTAACTTAGGGGCATCACTGAAGGCTGCACATGTTACTCACAATAATCAGTCAGAATGAGTTACTTAGTCAGATTACTCACTCGTGAGTAAAAAGGATGTTTTACAAGGAAAGCCCAAGTGGTTTTCTGGTGAAAAGCGGGCCCTCATTTTGCACTGCAAGCGGCTGTGTCCTACAGCAGGCTGTGCGTGTGTGAGGAGCCAGCTACGGCTCCGCTGAGCCCGAGCCAGCCGCGGGCAGGGCAGGGCAGGGCCGGGCGGCTCTCCCGCTTCCCCGGCAGGCTGCTGCCGCTCTCAGGGCTCTTTAAGCGGGAGGCCCCGCTGTCACACACGGTGCCCGAGCACTGCAGCGCTCCCTGAGCTGGCACAGCCGGGGAGCCCGTCCTGCCCTGCCCGGCCCTTCCCTCCTCCCGCGGGCGGAGCAGCGCCGCGGGATGCGCGCCCGGCCCCGGCAGCGCCCGCGGGACCGCGCCGGGCACCGAGCAGGTAAGGGGGGACGGAGAGCAGCCAGACGCCGACTTTCGGGAGTCAGGCTGGCCAAGGTGAACATATTCGACACAAATTAACTGCTTTTATCTATAAAAGGGGGATAATTAAATTGTTTTTAATTTGGTTAAAAGGTTGTCAGCGGGGAAGAGTTGAAGAACTCAGAGTTCCTAGTCAGATAATTAATTTTAAGTGCAAAATAGTTTGCTAAATGCTTAGAAATATGCATGCAACTGCCTAAGACAGTCCACTTTATTCTCCTTTTACAGTGAGCACACCTCCAGCTTGTATAAGTTTATTCAAAAGTGTTTAAAATCTAAATACTTCAAAACTGAAAATGTCTGTGACTCAGACTATCTCCTCACTACTACACCTTCAAGAATTAGAAACCTAACAGACATATGCCACAATGTGTTATCTATGAGAGCACAAAACTATCTTTTTAGACAAAATACCAAAATCTGAATTCATATGTCCAGAAAAGTGTGATTTAAATAACAACTGAGAAACTCTTCTTGCATTTTTGACTTTTATTGTAGCCACCTGATTACAATTATTTTTGGAAATGAGATGAAACTAAGGGCTTGATCAGCTTAATCACAACAGTTTGCTATGCTAGTTTTGTCTATTAAATAGTCTGTCTTCATCATAATTTTTGTATTAAAAGTCTTCCCCCAGGTTACATACATTTAATTTTTGCCTCAAATTTTCACATTAAGAGATTTTAAGCTTGATTTGTAGCCAGAAGTGTCTTTACTCACTGAAAGATAAATACATACAGATTTGAATTTAAAATAATCAGACTCATCTGCTTCATGCCTTATAAAGGCTGAAATATTTCTTAAAATGAATACTGAATTTTAGTTAATGCTTTAGTTACTTGTAGAGGGAGATGTTTATAAGAAACAAATTCAGTAAATTTCTGTTAATATTTTGATGATTCTGAGTGCTTTCATACACTCTAGGTTTGAAAGGTTTGTTCCTCTAGAGACCAAAGCAGCACTATTAGATCTAAGATTTCACATAATTGAAATGCAGCCTTTTCTCTAAGGTGCCAAACTCATTAATTTGATTTCTGGTTCTTACAGAAGTTCTAAGTGACAATTTTAACTTGCAGTGTAGTTATTCTTCAGTCATCACCCTCTTTTCAAGTCCATCACTGTGCCAGACATCCAGGTCTGAGAATTTTTCCTGTTCTACCATTTGCTACCTCAGTCAGGGAAGTGGCAGAGGGATGAATTCCCCCTCCTGCAGCACTGAAAGCCAGCCTTGGGTAATTCTCCTGGAGAGTTAACAGGAAGCTGGCAGTTCAGGCAGAGAGCAAGCACCCAGGAGCACTTGTTTTCCCCACTTGAAGGGCAAATATTTATATCATTGACTGAGTGGAAAATAAAGCAGAACAAGTTCATTGTTTGTTTGCCCCTTTCAGCTTGTTCTTCCTTTAGAATAAGTGTGAGCCTGGGAGAAGAGTGGTCACACCCCTGCAGTGTGAGAAGTGTTTCACATCTCTGGCTCCACTGGGAGCCCTTCTTTGTATCTGACTGAGCAGCTCTCAGGTGCAGACAATAAAACCCTACCCCACATAAACAGCTGTAAGCCCTGCTTGTAGAAGATACTGAAAATTCAATAGTCCATGTGGTTTTAGCTGATATAATTTGTAGAATCTAGTGGTATTCCTGACCCAATAAAATACTAAAAATTGTATAAAGATATCACTAATAATCTTTAATATTTCAGATATATTGTTTTGTATTTTACACAAATTTTACATTGTTTTGTATTATTGATAGTGTTTTTTTATTCAATCTGACTGTATGCATCTCCACCAAAGAAAGAACTGAGCACTGTCACTAGATTTCACAAAGACAAGTCTTTGACATTAAGTACTCTAGCTCCTAACCAGAATACCTGCCTAGAAACAAAATAAAATATAAATATTCACTGATATAAAACAGACCTTGCAGACTTCAATCCTGTCTGCCATTTGTTGGCTGCATTTACAAATTTACTGGGCTCCCAAAGTTTTAAAACTTGTTTTTCTGTTCCCAGAGTTTAGTCAGTAGTACTAGCTCTGTGACTTTTCGGGCACAGAGAAAAATGATATGACAGCAAATAATTCTGTAGTTTGGAGGCCAATAAATTATATAAATACTTGCTAATTCAGGTACCAGTTCATCTTTGAGCCCTATGCAATACATTTTCAAAGAAACCTCAAGTGAGAGCAAGTTACAGACTGAGAGGCCACCACCTCCCACAAGTATCTTGCTCAGGGGAACTTCTCAAGTTACAATAACTAAAGTTACTGTAAGACTCAGAGGGCTGTCCTGAACCTTCACACCATTTCTGTAGACTGCAAATAAGGTTTTTTTTTCCTAATAGTATTGCTACATTCTGTATTGCTACCTTTGTCTTCATTGGACATTGAGGAAATGCAAATCTCCCCTCCCAGATGTGATATGGGTAAAATATCACATCTGGGGGTTTTGTAAGGTTTTCCCTCCTGTTAGTTCTGTAAAATCAAGATATCCATGTGTAATTTGGAGGGGGCAGGGAGAAACAAGATTAGCAGAGAAAAATGACTGTCTTTTTAACCTAGCAAAGATTACATTCAATAGAGCAGGCAGGAAAAGCACTCTTCAATAGTTTCAGATGATGGGAAGGACTGGGGTGGATTCCTTGCACAGCAAAGGTCCCAAGGCCACTGTCTCAGCTGCATCCTGCAGCAACACAGCAGCAAGACAGAGTAAATCACTGTCTCCCTATATGTGGTTTTGCTCTTTTTCCTAATAATCAAAAGGTAAGGTTTCAAATCAAGCAGTCAAACAGTATTTTCTGGCTTTTCTATATTGCAGGTGACTGTAAGCCAGCACACAGTACCTCAACTAAAAACTCTAAACAGAAAGTATTTTGTTTCCTGGTTGTACTGTCTCCTGCAAGAGTTGTGTGCCATGATCTTAAAGTATTGCAATTGAAAAGTGAATATTTGCTAAGATACTGGGAGCAGTGAAGCAATCTACAATCTATAAAACATCTTTACAGAGTCTACTTTAGCTTGTATTAAATATATTATGTTAGTGAAAGATACTAACTTCCTTTCCAGAATTATATAAGTTTATACTTCTGAAAGACAGAATAGTCTTTCATCAATCATAGTACAGAAAAAAAAAAAAAAAAAAAAAAACCCTCAATTTGTATAGCCTTCAGGCAATAAATGAAACACTGGAAATGGAAGGTACAATCACAAATCACACCTCTAATAGATCTCTTTTTTCCCCTACCCCGTCTTCTTTATTGTATGCTTCTCTAAAGTCCTTTAATTCATCTTATTCAATGTGTTCAGCTCAAATTCTGGCAGACACCCTTACTCATCTACCCATTTCTTAAATTCAAGGAACAGATCTAGAACAAATTTCAATACAAGTTATTTTCTGGCTTAGAGATGAGATTTGACATGCTTACACATTCACTGGTGAGGATTTTAGTTGAGATAAAGAACTCTCAAAGCTCCAGTCACAACATGTATTTATTCTGAAAACTTTGTATTTCCAGAGCTATGTTTTGGTTGACCACTATTTTGATTAATTTATGCCCTCCCATAATCAAATACTGTATCCCTGTGAGAAACACCTGGTTAATAGAGCAGCTGCAGACCTTTTATAGCTTTTATATCTCAGGCTGGCTGAGATAGGCCTGCAACATTCAGAAGGGCACCGAGTCATGGCCTGCAGCTCTGCTGATTGCACAGCACCACAGCTGAACAGCTTCACTTGGCAGTACACCCATGTTCCCTTTGGGATGACTTCTGCTTTGATGAATGCACCTTATTTTTGATTGTCTTACTGAAAAGTATGTATATAGTAACACTGACTTACGACACAACCCTCTTGTCACATCAGCAGAGTTGTTGTATTCAGCCCCCAAAGAACAAAGCACACTGTATGTTGTGCCCGCAAGCTAAGAAAAACCTTAGGACATGAGAACACAGGTACAGGAAAAGCTTGGAGTAGTTAATGCAGAACAAGCACACACTTTGGGGAATTTATGCAACACTTGGTATCACTTCCCAGCCAGCAGCAGCTTTTCTAGCTAAAACCAATGTAGCCAACAGCTCCAAAAGGTGAGCAAGGCCTTTGGCAATTGATCTGCTGCTCTCACAGCCTTGAACCATGCATCCTTGAATCCTCAGAGCTGCCTCAACACTAGCACAGACCTTGACATCACTTCCCCACTGCTTCAATGACCGAGGGCCAGGGCAGATGGAAAGGCAGCAGTGCTTCCCCATAGAGGGCTGTTTGGTCCAACCTTCTTTCACTGCCAGGGGTACAACTGGCAGGACAGCAACTCCTTGTCCAAGCATAGAAACATCCACCCAGGGATGAAAAAGAGGGCTGTGTGCCCAAACACATCTCACTTCTCCCACCTCAAACCACAGGAAAAAAAACCAGAGCCTTCCTTCACCCTCAGAATCCACTGACTCTTGGCATCTCTATTTCTTACACAGATTGGGATATAGTCCAGCTGAAAATCACTGCAAGTGTGTTTTATACAGAATTAACTGGTGTGACCTTCCCTCACAACCAGGATTTAAGGAAAGGAGCAATGCTCTGTTCTCACCCCACTAAATCTGGCTGCTGGCAGAGCAGTGGATGCTCTTAATGGATTTTTTTTTCCATCAGACACTGGTGAGGAACCAATAAAGCAGAGAATGGGGACAGGGATTTCCCATGCAAACCATGACAGAATTTTCAAAAAAAAAAAAATGGCAACAAACAGAGGAGAAAAATAAAGGGAATGAAATGACAGCAAGATTTGAAACAAAAGCTAGAAAACAAAGCAAAAGTAGCAACAGCAAGAGCTTAAGAGAAGATGCCTGGCAGAGTAAAAGGCAGGGAAAAAAAATCCCTTCCAGGTTATAAACAGCCTCACACCTATCTTGACCCACCAGCCAGTGGGAAGAGGAAACCCCAGGAAGGGTCAGAATATCACACAGCCTGATGGGCTCTGCAGCACAGCCCACACCAGCAGAGCCAGAGGTCAGAGCAGATAAGCACACACAAAATCAAGCAGCTGTTCTGCAGCTTGGGTGACAGCAGACAGAGCACAGCCCACTTCAGGGAATGAGCCTGGTGGGCAGCATTCCAGCTCCAGCCACCCTCCTGCCACAGGGATGTGGCTTCACTGGCGAGGAGAGCAGCTGAGAGAGAGCTCCAGGCCCTGAGCTAGGGGAGCTCCAGCTGCATCCTCTGTACTTTTCCTGTGCTTTGAAATTTGAGATTAATCCAACTAGAACATGACACAGCAGCCAAGGAGAGCTCCATCAGGACTCAGTTTCATTAAGGGTATCATGGCCTGAATCCACCAATATTTGTTACTAGATATACACCGGTAACACACACTCTCCTTACAAACTGCAGAAAAAAAATTTGAGCTAATGGCTATTTTAACACTGTCATATACACTGTTGCTGGAAATTATTCAAATTTCTACTCTCCTCAGACATAAATACTCAGTAAAATCAACCCAGTTTCCATCATCACCTTTACATAAAGGTCAGGATTTAGTAACAAAAACTCAGTAAAGCACATGCTTGGACAAACCTGAGACCTCCTCTGGTGAGTTGTAGTCCCAATTCCCACAGCAAAAGCAGCACTGCAGCCCCTCAGGAAGCCTCCTCACTACTGATACAAAGGACTGGTGAGACAAAAAAACCCTTCAGCAACTGGCACCTCATTTATTCACCCACCTTACAGCTTTCAGGTGTGTGGGTCCAGAAACAGGGCTTGTCATCCTGATGACTTTCAGGTGTGTGGGTCCTGTAGCAGGAATTGCATTGAACACTGCATTCCCTAGGACACACCTGTTAACACTTAACAGAATCAACACAATTTAACACCTTCCTAAGCACCCTGCTCTTTCTATACATGGAAAAAGATAAAATATGCATTCTGATGGCAATTCAATTCCCAATTCTCCTTTCCATCATATTCTTTTATTTTCAGCTTTAGCTTTGATATATGTCAGTGTAGTAATCATTTTGTGTAACAATGTTCTAAGTGGGAGAAGAGGGCTTTAAAAATCAAAATTTTAAAGAGAAAGGCTTATCCAAGGGTTAGGACCAGTGCTTTAGGGTGGACCAGGTGTCTTACATCAGCATCAACAACTGCAGCTGAGCCAAGAGGAAAAGGCAGGCTGATGCTGTATGGAGGCTCCTCAGGGCAGAGAGAGAGAAAAAGAAAGGAGGAGCTCTTCCAGGGTCTGCAGCCCCAAAATGGGTTTTTTCTTCAGGCTGAGAAAGGAACAGACCAAAGAGGCTGACACCCCTATGCTGGCTAAAGCAAACACATCTATTCAGACAATTCCTACTGGCAAGTAAATAACGCAGCATATTTTTTGCTTTGCAACTTCAGACTCTTGACATGGAGGAGATCATGGTGGAAACAATCCTGGCCCCATGGGAAATCCTGCTGGTCATTTTTGCTGCCGTGCTGGTGATGAGTCTCCTGATGCTGCTGCCCCCCGCTGCGGTGGTGATCTGGAGGATGAGGCGCGCACCCCAAATCTCACTGCAAGGCTCTGTGTGAGCAGCCCTGCTCCCAGTGCTGCCCTGGCAGGATGGGCCACACTGATAACATCCTCAGCATCACTCTCACTGCCTGTGGTCCACCCAAAAGCAGTGGGTCTGCTGGTGCTGCCAAGTTCCCGTGGAAAGAGGATGTTTGTGATTTGTCACCGTGAGCTGCGCTCTCCGCACTTTGCCTTCCATGTTTCGTCTGGGCTGTGATTAATGTTGTTGGCTCAGTCCCTAGACTGAGTTGTTCTCTTGTGGACTGAAAGAGAAGTAAGGATAATGCAGCACTGGATTCCCTTAATTAATATCAGGAAAGCCTCCCTCTCTATAGTTACACTGTAAATACTACTGAAGCCTTTAACTGACTGACACTTATGCAGGTGGATTTATCTAAAGCATGCAGGATACTCTGGGGAGGCAGTAGTTTAGTCTGGTTGTATTGCAAAACCTAAAAAAAAAATAAAATTTCAGAGAATGTTTCAAGAAATGAGTCTCGCCTGCCTCTGTTGTTTGATCTGGAAAATTAATGGTTTAAAATGTTCTTAAATTCCTTCCTTCTATATGAATTTTCCTCTTTCCTCAATCCTGTAGTGCCAGAGCAAACCCCACCCTGGGGCTAGAGCAGGTACATGAGGAATGGTCCAATTCTCAGGCCAGACACCAACAAGAAATTAATGTAAACACCCAGCAACCATTTACGTGAATGAAATTATGCCAAAGTACTTTGGGAAATAACATGATTAAATTTACTTTTGTTTTTAACTGTTTCATATGGGCTTATTGAGTCAACTCCCTGTCTCACATATAAATAAGAACTCAGGTGGTTGGAATAGAACAAAACAACTTCTCTGCAAGTTATTGAAAAACACCCCAGCAACCCAATCTCCAGCTTAATATCAAGCTCATAACAGATGATAATTAAAGCTTTTCAGCCTAATTCTTCCACACTGTGTGACACTCATATGAGGATTTCTGACCCACAAATTAAGCAGATTCTTATGCTAGTTTACAGGTTTGATTTCCTCGTGAAATAAAATATCAGTGGCTTTTCTTTTGTTGGCTGGTTTGGAAAGTCACCAGAATAGATTAAGAAAATTGAGAGAAAAAATGGGATTAGGGACCAGTAGAAAACTTATACTGCAAAGTACTCCAGATATTTTATCTGAGCATCGGTTGATAATGATTTGACTGGAAAGACTTTAAAACATTATAATTTCATTTGATAGAGATAATGTGTTTGCCATAAATAGATAAATACCAAAATCCAGTGACTCAAAACTCATTATTTTCCTTTAAGACTACAGCACTTTTGTCTCCAACACAATGACTTAATTTATTGCCACATGGTTTATAAGTAGCCAAAGCATCCAACTCATCCCTTTTCTGGTGTAATTGTCTGTTCCACTCATTGTCATATGTCTGCTTCCGGGCCCTAAAGCAGCTGGGGTTATTTATGTTTTTTTTTTTACTTTTAGTGACTCGATTCTAAGCCTGAAATGTAAGTATGTAAATATATATATTTGAACCATTTATCTGATTAATGAGGTAAAGGTCAATTTTACATCATGTACCACAAAACTATGCTGTCTGTATCTGAGAGATGAACAGAAACAGGGAAAAGGTAAAAAAGGGAAAGGAAACACAAACAGATGAGTTGTCAGTCTTCAGATCTACAGCTTCACTGTTTGCTCAACAGAAGAAAATTAAAATATTGCATCAAGCACAGATTCCACTGCAAACCAAGCAAGCAGTAACTAAATTCCTTGTTTACATTTCACAATAATTCACATGCACATTGTTTGGTAGCTACAGCTCCACAAATAAGCTGGATCAGCAGTGCTAAGTTACCTTTGATCTTCACTTTCACTCAGTACCAGGTGAACAATGGGCAGGTTTTCTGCTGCTGTTCTAAGCCCCAGTCAAGCGAGCAAGTGAATGAAGCATTATACCCCTACAGCCAGGGACTGTTGTCACTTACACAGCTTAAATGGTCATCAGAGCAATAATAGTGATTAACTGGCAGCTGTAAAAGTGAGTCGAAGTACAGCCCTTTCCCAGTAAAGAGGACCCCTGACACAGGACAATTTCTGACAACAATCACTGTTATCACTGTCTGCAGACATCCTGAAGAACTTAAGCCAATAGGAAGGCATCGATTTAAAAACTGCAGTTCTCATTTAACTCCAGCTAGTCAAATTAAAGCCATAAAAGTAGTCTTCTTTCTTTGGAACTATTCTGCCATGAGCCGCAGGATTAGATTTAGCCTATATATCCGCACCCCAAAGCTGGGGTCACGACTGTGATCTCCAGGCCTCTAACTGAATAAAAGCTGTGAGCTGGCTGTGATTTCAGTGCTCTGCTCCTGCTGCCCGAGTGCAGCCAGAGGCTGGGCTGTGCTCAGGCTGCTGCTGTCAGTAACCACAGATGATACAATCGGCCCCTCGGTCTCGGCTGGAGCCGTCGATGCCTTGCTGGGCAATCTCCTGGAGGAAGATGTTCAGCTGCTCTGCCTGAGTCTCAGGGAAGGCAAGCGTGTGCACACAGGTGCTGTTGCTGGGGAAATAGGCAGATTTAGCTCCACTGATGGCCACCTCAGAGGCTGGAAAAGATCAAAGATGACAAAAACCAAATAAATAAATATGCAGCTAAATTAGCATAGCTTAGCTTTGTTCTATCATTAAACATGTGCTGGGATTCCAATTTTCTAAACTAAAGTCTCCAACTTGGAATAAAAGTGTCTAGATGATTGGTTGCTTTTAGTAAGCCTTGGAAAACAACTAGCAACTGCTCTAGCAACTAGGCACTGTCAACAGTAAAATATTTTCCATTAAACGTAGGAGTGGTAGAGTGGCCCTTTAGTGTATCTATATGCACATTTATTTTTAAATTAAGGCAATAACAACAGCCTGCTTTGGGTCGCAGATTGAATAATGGATAAAATGGGAGCAGTCTTATAGTCCTTGGGCTGCCATGAAGATGGCAGCATTGCTGGCTGGGGCCCAGCTGCTGGGCTTTATTGTGTGTACATACAGGTGTTGGCCAATTTGCTGAGATTCTTCAACTACTGTTGCAAGATAAACAGTTTTATGTCCTATTGCTGTCTGTCCCATGCACACAACCCTTGTGTAATGTGGGGTTTGTGTTAGGGTGATACTAGTTTTCTGTTTTTTTAAAAAAACAGGTCCATCTTCCCACAAACATTTGCATAAATGTCAGATTTGGTACCCCAAGATGAAACAGCAGTGCTCTCATGAGAGTATTATAGCTAATGTGTTTTCTTCCTCATCAGTTTGCCAGCTCGGCACTGACTCTCACGATGTCACACATGACAAGGCTGTCATGAAAAGAGAAACTTTTCTTTCCTGCTATTCTTCTGAACAAAAGAGAGGAAGCCTTGTGTCCTGATGAACAGATGTCTCTGAGAAACACTCACGGTTGCAAACAGCCAGCGCCTTCCCCCCGCTAAGCTGCGTGGTCCAGGAAAACCCAGTGGCATTGCCACACACTTCATAGAGCCTGCTGCTTCTGAGGAACTGGAAGTCATAACCCTTGGGAAACAGTGGAGGGGAGAAAATAAACAAACACTGTCTTAGGGTACATCATGGTAACTGCAAGGGGGAAAAACAGGGCAGGTAAGTACAAAGGATATAAAAAAGTATAGCAAGCAAAACTAGGCTTTAGCAAAGGAAGGAATAGGTGCAGCAGTATAGCAGCAGTAAGGCACGAATGTTACCTTGTTGCACATGGGTTTGCAGTACTGAGTGTTGTCAATGGTCACACACACGAGCCCCCCGTTTTTTGGGGCCACTGGGCGTGGGCATGGAGGTAACTGCTTGCAGACTTTTGGATGGATAAAAAGAAAAAAGAATGAGAGTGAGAAAACAATATATCAGAATGAAAGTGGGTATAAAAGCTTTCCCTTCCCAAGCAAATTCATTGACCTGTCTCTGCCAGCTGACATAATCAAAGCAAGCATTTTTGCTTGTTTAAAATTTTTTCGTCCCCCTGCTTTTTTTCTGGCGACACCCACCAAATTTTCCCCTCACTTGTCACTGTGACTACAGGGTCAGCCCCAGTCACAATTTAGAGGCGGCTCAGTGTGGCATTTGCACTTGCAGCACTGACATTCAGCACTATTGTGGCCAAAATTATCCAAATATTTCTTGGAAAAATATGACTGGCATGCCAGCTCCAAGACAGCACAGAGGCTCTGGCTGGAGGGCAGAGCAGACCCTGCTGGCCCTGTGACTGTGCTGCTGCTCAGCACCGGTGCCTGGGCTGCAGAGACAGCAGGACCCCCTGTTTGTGCTGCTGTGCCTCCCCAATCCCAGCGCTCCCTGTTGCTCAGACATATTTTACATTATGCCCCTCCTCCCCTAAAGAAATGCAGACACTTGGTTCATTCTGTAGTAGAAAGAATTTCCTTTGTGCTTCTCCTCTGCCACTTTGTTCACTGCCCAGCAAAGGGGAGCGCTGGCTCAGGAGGGGCCTCACATTGCTCCTGAACAGGGCGCAGCAGATCAAGTGTTTCTTGCAGTGTCCACGCCAGGAAATTGATTGAAGCTTTTTCACCCTTGGCAATAATATCAGGCAAGCATTTTGAATATTTCTGTGGAGTTAAGGGAGAAAAAGTCGAAGTTGAAAAGGAAAGACTTTGGAGCCTTAGAATTAACCTGTCTGTGAACATATGTAAATAAAGAAGCTCATGTATTTCTAGGTAGCTACTGTTATTTATCTCACTATAACTTATGTTCAAGCCACTTCATAAATCTAGAGCAGGGAAAAACTGGAAAATATATCTACAAGGACATTTTTGGACTAGCAGTAGCAGGACCAAAGCTGTGGTAAGTCAGATGACACTAATGTTTTTCTGCCCTTGTGTGTGCCTCCCCTCCCCAGCTTGTACTTTGTACATTGCCAAAGCAATGCACGAGTTGTGCTTGCCCAGCCAGCACAGGCAGACACAGCAGGAGCCCACCAGCACAGGAGGTGGGTGCAGAGCAGACCCTGGGTCAGCCAACCTCTTACCTTGAGACTCCAATTCACATCATCTATGGTTGCATTTCTGCATTCACTTCGATTGGCAAAAGCTCTGATTTCAGTAAAATCTAAAAGACAAGCAGAAGCAGGTGCTTAGCTAGGTCATAGTCCCTCCTGACACAGGAACAAACCCCAAATACCACTTGTTCAGAGGAACTGTACTTCTATCCTGCTTCTATCCTATCCCACAGTCCTAGTACCAGCTTGTATACCTGAGGTGATCAGGGCTCAAATCTGAATGATCTGTACAAATGTTGATTTGTTGGAAACACCAATGTGAGCACCTGTTCAGAGCCACTCAGAGCTGGGCCCCTAAGCAGGCCCTTCATTTCTCTAAGACAGCCCTATTTAAATAATTGCTAGTCATATTCAAGAACATCTTACCTGCAAGAAGAACTGCTAAACTTAGAACAAACGGTGTTTTCCAGAGGAGGCGTGAGCAGATCA